TGTTCTAAGCATGGCCCTGATAATATTTCATTTAAGTCTTTGATCCTGCTAAGTAATCCATTTTCGCATCTAGCCCGATAAAGCACTCTCAAATGTTACAAGCATCCATTTCTGTCCCTAAGCCTCTGAATGAGTTCTTTAACATTTTAAGCAGTTACTTCCCCCCCCCCCCCTCCAGTGGCACAGCGGTTCTTCTGCGGACTTATACCGCTAAAAACCGGGTTTCGATACCCGCGATGGGCAGAACACAGATAGCCCTTTGTGTAGATTTGTGCTTAATAAGAAACAACAACATTCCTTCTGATTTATAATTTCCAGCATCATTTGCTCCTATATGAGCTATAAAAGCAGATTGTTCTCTGGGACTAGCAGCTAAGCAATCAATGCATTCTGTAATATTTTGTACTTCAGCACCTGCATGGCAAGCAAATCCAGTCCTAGTCTTTCCGCGCTCTTCACTACAAATAACGTTATCTGTATGATTAATGAAAAACGTACCCCACAATCTAAACCTCGTAATGATCTCATTTCATTCTGGTAGTAGCGAAAGGTTCAAATTTGTTAGAAACTTCTACCTGAATGCTAACTGATTCTGCTTCTATAGACCAAATTTATGCTTCTGTGTATCCTTGTAAACCCAACTTTCTCATTGTGACTCTTCCCCAAAGCAACTTTTACTCGAACTGTCTTGCTTCCTTGATTTGTTCTTCTAACTTGTTATTTTCCTCCTCAAACTTCCCGAAAGCTACCTTATTCTCACGTAAACAAGTTCTGCAAGTATAGTGTACACTGTCTTTCTGACCCTCCAATGTTGCAATAAAGCCCACAGCTCCCAAACATAACAATTTACTACTGCATTAAACCCGAAGCAACTACCAAAATTTCAAGTCTTAAGATAAATCAATTATCTGTCTCAGCTAACATTTTCTGCAATTAGTTATTTTAATATAATAGTTAATAACATATATATATATATATATATCCGTGAGAAGAACGAAAATTCACTTCATACGTTCAACTGTTCTCATTGAGGAAAGTGTAAGAATTAAAGTCGGTAACAGAGGTATCATATTTGCTTCTGAATATATTGCTTTTGAACGTGTTTTACATCCAATTTTTAAATTATATCTATATACAGGGTGATTGTAAATAAGATTTCCCAATTCGACGCATCTTATCTCACAAATAGTATGGGCTAGGAAGGTAAAATTACACAGGAATATTAAGGGTATTAATGCTACTCTTGTTAATGTGGCCACTAGGAGCGTCACTGTGGTTTCTTTCGCACATTCCTCATTGGTATAAATGGCCAGTCGATCGCAGTGCAACTCATTCAATCAATATAAAACTGACAAGTGTGCAAAGAGGTCAACTAGTGAAATATTATTTCATCAAAGGATGCAATGAAAGGCAACTTTTAAGGATTTGTTTATTTGTTTTTGAATTTCGCAAAGCTACACGAGGACTATCTGCGCTAACCGTCCCTAATATAGCGGTGGAAGACTAGAGGGAAGGAAGCTAGACATCATCACCCACCGCCAACTCTTGGGCTATTCTTTTAGCAACGAATAGTGGGATTGACCGTCACATTATAACGTCCTCACGGCTGAAAGGACGAGCATGTCACCCTCAGATTGCGAGTCAAGCGCCCTAACCACCTGACCAACTTTTAAGGAATACCACAGGGTGCATAACAGAGTGCAGAAGGCCGTGTTCCATTGTTGACGTACACAAGTTTATAACAAAGAAAAACTGATGAGACAGGTTACAAGCAGATCATCGACACCAACAGAAACTAGTCGGTCAGACAAGAGTAACCAAAGAGTTGGCGGTGGGTGTCGTTGAGTTCATTTTAGGCTATCAGTTTAGTATTACGGACAGCTCTTTGTGAAGGTTTGGATGAAAATTCTAAAACAAGCAAACCAATATCATTTAAAGAACCCTGTTTAACGAGACAATAAAAACTTCTATAACAAGGCTGTGGGGAATTAGCCAAATATCACATTTACTGTCATACTTCTAATGGAGTTTCTTGTTATAGCTTTCTTTAGTAACTATCAATTATTTTTAAGAGTTTCGTTCTCCAATCAAAGTTAGTTCACAAAGTAATAATTCAACCACTGAAAATGTTTTACTTTGAAAAATAATAAATTTGTTATGAACTGTTTTTGAAATATTATAAATTGAAATATAAAATTACAGCACGGAACACTAGCATACCGGTAATTTACATAAAAAAAGATGTTAAAGCTGAAAAAAATCTATTGAATTTAAAACCACAAAAATGAGGAAAAAAAAAACACTAGCTAATAAGGGGAAAAAATACCAAAAAATCTAAGTTAAAATCCGTGATTTATTTTCCATTTTTTAGTGTATACATAAAATAGTTTTATGGATACCTTTTCCTTGTTGCTATTGTTATTATTTTATCGTAAAGCTACACAATGAGTTATAAGTATGCTTTCCGCCTAGGTAACGAACTCCGAATGTTAACGCTGTTATTCCGAATAACCTTATCGCTGACTCACTGGGGGACTCATTTTTGTGTAGAATTTTGTAGAAAGTAAATTTTTTCGTGAGTATATGCTTTAAACGTATAAATGAATAACACTATAGTTCAAGAATGTTCAACTACAACAATCTTTTCTTTTTTTATATAATTTATATGTTATTGTGTAAGATATATTTTAATGTTGTAATTTGTTTGTTAACTAGATGGAGCTGCGGGTCGTAATGATGATGTTAAGATTAAAGAGTAATAAGATGGGCTTAGAATGCTTAGAAAATGTTAAAAGATTTGATATTAAATTTTCTAATAAATTCGAGGGTACATTTTATATACGAGTTCAGTGAACTATCAAAAAGAGAGCCGAGGAGATGGTTAGCTATCAGTTTCAACAGTGAAGTGGGGAAGATAATATTATTCTATACCTTAGTGTAGTGTAGTTAGCGTTATTTGTAAACGTAGGCCTTCAACAAGTTATAATAATGTACAAGTGTTTTTAATCTTGCAAAAAACGTTAATGAAGAAACTAATTTGTTATCGTTTACGTGGACTGCACCTTAAATCATTTTCATCAGATAATTCAAAAACCAACAAGCGAAAAAATAATGTTACAACAGTATTAACAGGCCAAAGGCTGTTGCTCGTGCAAACCGTAAATTTACTTACAACACTTAGTCACTTCCACCTTGACTCCCAGCTGGTTAGCCAAAAAGAATTTTAAAACTTTTCGATAATGTAACTCTTGTAATGCTATTCTGGAAATAGTCTCTATTTCTGTAAAATACTTCAAATTCATAAATAATGAATAATTCTCAACATTTGCACTTTCACCATGATCAGAATGGTGCGGTTTAAAATTCCGTGGATAATGAGTCGTTTAATTCGAATTAGTCGTTTCTACACATAGGCAACGACAATGTTTAGAATATTCTATAAAGCGTTACGGTAGTTTATCCATTCCATCATGAGATTAATTAGTTTTTGAGTTAAAATCAGTTGCTCATACGAACAAGACAGCAAAAATTAACGCACGAAAATCAGACACAAAATTTGTTTAGAATATTAAGTTATCACTTGTCTCTTCCTTGTAAGAATTAGTAGGATGAAATTGGAATATACATTTCTAATGTTGATTAGATATAGTATAATTTGTCGGTGTTGAGCACACAAACTGCACAATGGGCTATCTGTGTCGTGCCTATTACAGGGACCGAACCCCGAATTCTAGCGTTATAAGCCTTCGAGATTGCCGATGAGCCATCGTAAGGAAAAAGGTTGTAGTCGTTCTTATAATTTTAGGAAAAAAGCTGCACATTGCGCTATGTGCACTCTGTCCACCGCTGGGAATTTAATCCAGGATTTTAGCGTTGTCAGACCGTAAACTTACCGCTGACCCATCGGGAGACCCTTAGAGAAGACGTATGAGAGAAGCGAAGCAAAAACAGGTGTGATAAAAATGTTTATGGTTTTCTTTGTTTCTAATGATACAGCTATAATAAATAATATACCATTCAAAATAAGCTTTGTTGGAGAAAAGTAATATATCATTCTATAAACGTGGGAATTTTTACTATATTTTTCCTTCGTCGTTTAAAATATAAAATTCACACACATATGCACACATTATATGAATTTTTGAAGTATTGGCTTAAAAATGGCGGTTTAGGTAGGATAATTTATGCAATTTCACTGCAAAAATGTATTTGTAAATATTTTTCATAGATGGCGGTAAAATTCAGAATCAGTTGTTGTCATGAGTGTTCAGAAAGAAAAAGAAGAAACAGAAAAAAAGAGGCACGTTTCGAATGTTTTATTCGTGTTTTTATATATGCCAGTGACAGACCGGGTGTAAGCTAATGCAACAGACACGATTTAGGGAGCAAATAACCAATGAATATTACTTACTGAGTCAGGGAATAAACCGGAATAAAAATTGTGCTTATGCCCACTAGCAACAATAACCTCCCAAGTACATATGTTTTATTTAATTTTTCAAGGCAAGCGAAAGTAGTCTTATATATATTTAAAGAATGTAAACGATCACCAAAGCAACAGTACATACATTTCTGGTGGTTAACTGAAGGTCGTAGCATAAAAAATATTACTATTTTTGCTTTGCGAAAGATACATCAAGAATAAATCAAAGTCTCAAAGTGCTCGATTTTAAGCCTCAAGTCTTTAACAGATTAACGAAATTAATAGATCAATGTAAATATAACAAAAATAATTAGATTTTCCGCATTACATTAATCAGATCACGTGTTGTTTTATCGAAGTTTAATGTGGAGAAAATGGTCTCGTTTTAAATGATGCTTTTGCTCTATTGATTTCATAAGAAATTAGCGGCTTCATGTACGCATTTTATCACACCTAAAATATCTTAGTGCGTAGTTTTATGGATTTGTTTGAACGAGAAGATGAAGATGTAAATGTTAGTTTCTTGGAGATTAACCGTGTTTTAACTACAGCGGCATTTGTCGCCCACGTGCTTTACAAGCTTTTTCTCCACAAATGCACTCTATAAAGAATAATCGCTTCCCTTCTCCTATTCTGGTAAAACCACATTTCTGTGAGGCGCCAGAGATTTCTTCTCGGTTGTCAGGATGTTCATCGATCAACACGTGATCTTTCTGTTCCGTTGCACTGCCGACCGAACGTCGCGACATTTGAAACTCTTCTCGCCTTGATGTCCTGATGGTGTAGGCTTATCAAATTGTCTTCTGCAACAGAGATTTGCCTAACATAATGTGATATTTTTTATTCGCAGCAGTACTTCTAATTAATATGTTTAACATGACAAAAAATGAGAAAAAGAGTTTTATTCTCTGAAATCAACGTAAAAGTACTTATTTCAAATTCGCTTATCTTTGAAACATAAAAAAAATTGGACAAGAGCACAGCTATTTAGACTAATATAGGAAATAACAAAGGGCCATTAAAGACCAACACAAAATAAAATATAGTTGCCATACAAATGACGTGGTGTTCTTGCTTGATATAGCTTATAAAAATATTACAAAAACAGTTAATGGTTGGGTAAAACAATATAACGAAACTTAGCCAATATGTAACGAAAATGCTACTGTTTAACATTTTAGAGTACAGTGTTTATGAATAACTTATATTTAAACGAAAAGACATGTACGAAATTATAGTAATCAACAACTTACTGAATAGGATTGTATGTTTGTTTTGAATTTCGCGCAAAGATACACGAGGACTATCTGCACTAGCCGTCCCTAATTTAGCAGTGTAAGACTAGAGGGAAGGCAGTTAGTCATCACCACCCACCGCCAACTCTTTTAGCAACGAATAGTGGGATTGACCGTCACATTATAACGCTCCCACGGCTGAAAGGGCGAGCACGTTTGGTATGACGGGGATTCGAACCCGCGACCCTCAGATTGCGAGTCGAGTGCCTTAACCACCTGGCCATGCCGGGCCGGTACTAAATAGAAAGATTTACAGCAAAGCCACATTGGGCTCTATGCTGTGGCTACCGCGGAGAATTGAATCCTGGATTTTATGGTTATAGGTCTGTAATCTTACCGCTGACCCATCGGGGGACAGATAGGAGGAGCTGTATTACATGACATAACAAACAATAATATGGGGCAGATATAGAGGGGGGGGTTAGCTATCCACTCTTTCCGTGTAAGTGTTTGGAATCATTCAGTTCATATGTTTAAAACGTTTTTCGGTAAAACATGTCTCAAACTCCATCAACTAGCACCCCCCCCCCGTCCTGGATCACCCACTGTATATTGGAGATTAGAAAGGAATAAGTGTGTTAAATGTCACTGTAAACAACAATAAATGAATAACCGATCCAGGGGTGCGGGTGGATAAGGTGGCTATAGCCACTCACCTTTTACCGAAAAAAATTTTGGAATTAGTCAGTTCATATGTTTACAACTTTTTTTCCAGGAAAAGAATGTTCCAGAACCTATCAAGTACCCCTTCCCCTCCATCTTGGATCAATTCTTGTACATGAAAGCAATTAAAGTCTCCAATGGACGATATGTCCTTTTTAATATCCCAATCAAAGATTCTTAAAGAGATATAATACATACAGTGATATCATCATAGACGTTAAGTTACTAAGTAAAAGCTATGTTCTCGATGATACCTTTAATATGGTTTAAATTGATATTTGCAGGTTATTTAATGAAAATGTTGTTGAAGATGTATCATTGACATAAACTTACGAAGTGGCGGATGTTATAATTTTGCGGATAATTTAAAGAACATTGGGTTAAAGAGTACATGTAATATATTTTGTAAACTGGTTCATACTCAAATATTTTATCATATAAATTAAAGAGTGCCCCATTATTTAAAAAAAATAGTCTATTCGTAGCTTCATTTTTTTGCGTGAAATAAGACGAACATTTATTATTTTAGTTATTGTTTATCTTCGTAACAATCTGTGTTCCGTTGCACCATTTTCGAGACATAGCAACCTATATCCATAGCAACCTATATCCCACATCAGAGAATAATTATGAATAATATCATAATATGCGACTTACAATAATTCTATAACTTATTCGGTAGTTGAGACTATGGTGTCGTTTATAGTTTTTTTTTCGAAATATTCACACAATAAAAGTTTGTTTGTTTGGTTTTGAATTTCACGTAAAGCTACATTAGAGCTATCTGATCTAGCTGTCCGTAATTTAATAGTGATAGACTAAAGGAAAAGCAGGTGGTCAACACCACCCACCACCAACTCTTGGACCACTCTTTTATCAACGAATAGTGGAATTGATCGTCACATTATAACAACATCCCCGCGGCTGAAATGGCGAGCATGTTCGGTGACGGAGATTCGAGCCCTCGAGCGCTTTAACCACCTGGCCATGCCATTCCATGTCCCACATTAAAAGAAAGAGCTACACAGTTCAACGTGTTGTAAGACTAATGACTTTTTTATTTGAATGACAAAATGCGGAAAAAAAATCAATTTGGAAATATTTTATTTTGGTAGATTCGTTCGTAGTTAAACACAAAGCTAAACAATGAATGGGTTATATTTGCTCTGCCCATCACGGGTATCGAAACCTGGTTTTTAGTGTTGTAATTCCGCAGACATACTGCTGTGCCATACAACCTAACATACACATACAACGATACACATCATGTTTTGTACAGCCATGTTTGTATGAAGTTTGGCTCTAACTATGAATACCGCCGAATTGTTTTTTCTCACATTACCCGAGATTATTGCAGTGAAGTCATCCTGGTGCAAAGGTTCTTACTAGCCATTGAAACGACAACGTATGCCTATGAGAATCGTTATGACTCTTCGTCTCAGACGTTTATACCAACCTGACTTTAATGGCACTTAATATACAGTTGCTGTAGAACTTCCACAGAAGAACATACTTGGCTTATTTCGAAAGAGGTTAATATTTAATCAGACGGCATCTGGTGGTTCAGCGGTGAGTAATGAAGTATGCTATTCCTTTTTTACCAGTGGGCCAACTGTGAGCTTATGGACTAACAACACCAAATTTAGATTCTCGTTGGTGGAAAGAGCACAGATTGTCAGTTGTGTAGTTTTGCGCTAAAACCAAACAACAAATATAGTTACATCAGCCGATGAGCCAGTGGTAAGTTTATGGACGTAAAACGCTAAAATATTGTGTTTCATTCCCTACTGTGGACAGAACAAAGATTGTTCATTGTACCATTCGGGCGCCTGAGCGGCAAGTCTGAGGGCTTATACGCTAAAAATTGGGTTTCGATACCCGCCATGGGCTGAGCGCAGATAATCCATCGTGTAGCTTTGTTCTTAAGAAAAAACAAAATCGTTCAGGCTTTTACACGGCCATACGTCTTTCTATACATATAAAACTAGATATTTGTATGTG